GTACCATGTTTATAAATAACTTAAATTACAAAAAATAGTAAATAAAATGTTCCCAAATATAAATTGAAGTGGACTTTATGAGGTATGTATGCATGTGCATCTGTGTCTACAGAAAGATGAGCGATCCCTATGTATTTGCATAAATGTGTGCATATTACAGTCAACTTTGATCTCTTCATCCAAAGTTTACATGCCAGACCTCCTACTCACCCAGTGAACAGTCAGGTATCATATACCGGTGCTGCCATCTACTGGACAATCCATGCATTGTTTTTACGTTGCAAATACAATGTACCCCTTTGTGGTTTACAGAAACTAATGTCTCATTGGTTGTTTAAATGAGTCCCCACTGAGGATTTGGTGCAATAGGCTCTTTTCATAGCAAACATTCTGACTTGTCAAGCAGGAAAAACACAGGTGCAACTAATTCGATTAATTATGGCTTTGGTACGTTTAGGTGTGCCAGTAGTGTCCCAATGCTAATGGGAGGCAGCCATCGTAACCATTAATGGTTACACCGATGCTTTCCTGCTGCTACATGAAAACTGTGAAAAGGATAATAGGTGGTGTGTTGATCATTTATAAGAATTGAGTTGAAACAGTTTGCATACTGTAATTATGTTTATTATCTAAACAGCTGCATAGAAAGATGACAGTCAATGGTATTGATTATATAAAGCAGATATGGTGACCTTAATTTGCACATTTTCACTGACGGGTTTAAGAAAAAAAAGTTGCAACACAGTTCCACTTTACAATCGACGTAATAAGTGGTGTGAACCATTTCACATTTAAGGCCTAAGTAGAGTGACATTTTATGCAAATTCCTCAGAAATGTGTATATATTTTTTACTTTATATTGTTTAAAAGAGACTACACATTCATGGAAAATTAGGTATGTGTTATCTTTGAAAATTAGAATTTGTTATTGTTTAATAATTTCTATCAATCAAGCCATATTTGAATAAAAGAAAGAAGCCAAGCTCCCTCCTCAATTCAATGCAGTATGCTTTATTGGCATGTGAGTATGCATAGACAATATTGCCAAAGTTTAAAGAAAAAATAAGATTAAAAAGGGAAAGAAAAAAGGTCACAGTCTCTCTCCCCTTTCCTCCCTCCTTTGACCATTTGTTCATGGTTTAGACCAAACTGCTTGTTTAACGTGTATTTTTTTAAATTTCAAAATAAAGTCAGTTATTGGCTGATTTTAACAATTCATTAACTTTAGTTTCTTAAGTCTAACAATCCCTATAACTTGTTTCATAGCCTACTACTTTCATCACATGTGTGTAGTAGATACGAGACACCAGCAGGGAGCAGAGTAACAATCTGGAAATCGCCGACATGGAGGGCTTTTAACCTTTAACACCCGCCTTCCTCCTTCCTCTTCCGGTTACGGCGATAGCAGGTATGGCGGCCCCTGCTTTCCTCTGAAACATTATGACTTAATAATCCACTGTAATCCTACGTTTTAAAAGACAATGTGGTCAATTTTAAGTACAGACAATACTAAAAACAACTCCTTGTTTTTAAATATGTGATAATTTTATTATTTAGTGGTTTCTGTGCGACACTTTACAGACGCAGTTGCTGGGTCCCTATGGCCGCTATCCAAACACCAAACTGAATGTTATAGCTGTGACTTTAGATAACAAAGAGTGTTGTCCTACTGAACTGAGTGCTAGATAAAATCCCTCTTCAATAAAACAATTAATAATCTTAATGTTCGGTAAACCGGCTTAGTGTTAGCCGGTGTCTCTGGCGTGTTGAACGGCAACATCTGCAGCGAAGGTGGCATGGTTAGCATCCTAGCTTCACGTCCCCAAAGTAAATGAATCCTTGTGTCTGTTTTCAGCTTCAAGATGGTGCAACGCCTGACTTACCGCCGTAGGTTGTCCTACAACACCGCCTCCAACAAAACCAGACTGTACGTGAACTTTCAACAACATCTCTGCTCTTAATTGCAGAGCTTGACGCATGTCCTCTTCATATTATGGACACCACTGTAACTGTACTTCATTATTGTCGTGGTGTTCCGCAGGTCCCGAACTCCTGGAAACCGTATTGTGTACCTGTACACCAAGAAGGTCGGCAAAGCTCCCAAGTCGGCATGTGGCATCTGCCCAGGAAGACTGCGCGGAGTAAGTAAACTCATTGTGTTCTTGTTGAAGGCCATTTGCTTTCCCCCAGCTGGATGTGCTGTTACTCTCCCCTATAAAGACTCGGTGCATGCACTTTTTAGGGGCTGGTCTCAGCGAGTACTGGCATCAATCAAAAAATATCAGCTGTGGTTATGTTTGATGTTTTTCCCCAGACTTTTAAGTGCGCTTTTACCTTTTACAACGATCTGTATAACTAATGAGGACATGATGGTCCTTCAAGAAGAAGACATCTTGAAGTTACATGTGAAATAACTTGAATTAGTAATTGGTTGTGATTAGATGAACAGATGAGATGGGTCATCCTGCTGTGGCCTGAAAACACACATGCTTTTGCTTCAATTGCTGCTGCAGAATCAATAAGGCTCCCTTGACTTGCTGCCCTCCCCTGTAAACATAATAGTGCAGTAATAGATGGGCAACAATACGTGAAAGCATGCTAAACAGGAGGATATAGGAGAGTGGCTCTTCTTGTCCATGTGGTGTTATTCTGGGGAGAGAGAAAAGTTGTGATCACTGTTGAACTTGAAACTATTGCTGACACAAGCTTCCATAGATACAGAAGTGTTTTACCACATGTTGTATTGCTTTTCTTGCTTTGCATCCTTAAAGTTAGTCAGGTGTATTTTAACGGCCTAGAGCCATGCAGCAGTAATTCTCACAACTTAGTTTAAAAAGTGACGAAGATAACGTAATACTTACATTCTACTATTGGACTGAAAGCAGGCTGACGGATCTTAACTACTTCATGTTGTGCCAACAGTCAGGGCATCTGTCAGTACATTTCATTATGGAAACTGATGGGTAATGTACTATTGCTGTTGGAAACAATTAAGCCTGTTTTCTGTGAACTTACTGAACCATGCGCTAAAATTTGGCAATTACTTTTTAACAGCACTCGGGAGTCACATGAATTGCAATCAATACATCTAGTGGCTGGAGGTACCCAGACAAAAGGACACGTGATAAAATGGTTACTGTAGTATGTAACCTGGACAGAGACATTTAAACCAGCTATTTAAAATACAATTATTAAACAATAAACAAAGGTGTCTTAATGGCATTGGTGCCTTGAGTAGTTGGCTTTAGGGTTAGGGTTTGGTTGCAGAGAAGGTTGCTTAAATCCTTTTTATCTTTCAAGATGCCTGTAAATGTTTCCTGTTATTTCTATTGAATAACCTGAAGTTTCTAAACATGCAGACTGTCTGATCACTCTACTGCATTTAATGCGTTTTTGGATAACCTTCCCCCGGCTGTGGTGACGTACGTTCCTCTAAGTCAGTACACGTTGCCTGCTGTGGTCTCATTGTGGTTCTGTTTTGTAGATTCGGGCTGTTAGACCTCAGGTTCTGATGAGGCTCTCCAAGACCAAGAAGCACGTCAGCAGGGCCTACGGAGGCTCCATGTGCGCCAAGTGTGTGCGTGACAGGTAAGAGAAGCATTTGCTCTCATCTCCAGACTCTCTTGCTGAGAAACTGAAATCCTGTTATTTGCTCTGATGGAGATAGCGACATGTTCAGCCACTGACTGTACCTTTTTAAATGTGTGTCGTTTGTCTAAATCGTCTCTTTTGCTGTTATTCTCAGGATCAAGCGTGCTTTCCTGATTGAGGAGCAGAAGATCGTCGTCAAGGTGCTCAAGGCACAGGCACAGAGCCAGAAATCTAAGTAAAATGTGTATTTGTATTGCCACAATAAAAAAATGACAGACAAATCAATTTCCTGTTGTAATTTGCAATATTTTGGTTTGTCATCTTTTGACTGTCTTTCATTGCACTTTATATTTATTACAGATGTGTTGAACAACTGCCAAAACTATTGGTTGAAAAGGTTAGGATTGTATCAAAATAGTCCGAGAATGAATTACATTTTACATTAGGCCAAATACAATAAAGCTTTTGAATTTAGAGGGTTGTTTGACAATCTGAGTACATTATACGATTTCATCTCAGATTATTACTCGTGCGTTAATGTAAAAGCAGGATTTTATGGTTGTAATTGGTTGAGCTAACTTTAACTTGTACAGGATGGCAACTAATGATTTACATTATGGATTAATGTGATTACATTCAATTAATTGATTAGATTGCAAAAATTCAGAAAATGGTGCGAAATGCCATCACAAGTTCTCACAATAGTCCATATCTCAGGATTTGCTGCTTTTCCATCAAAACAGTTGCCAATTTCTGTAAATGGACTCAGTTTCCTCTATACGTATACTAATCTGTTATACATCACATTGTATAAGGTCTTCGTACATTTTATATTCATTTATAAAGTAACTAGTAAACTAAAGCGGCCATATGAATCTAGTTGATTAAAAGTGGCATGAAAAGAGTACAAGTACTTTAAATGTATACTTAAATACAGTTTTGAGTCAATGTACATTTCATGCTGTGCACCATCATATAACATATTTTATGCTGTGATTGTGGAAAGGCCCTGTTTGAATTAGAATATATTACTCCTCCTGATGTAAATCAGCAAAATGATTATAAAGTATGAATTGCTATTAATGGAGCAGTTAGTTGAAAACCAGAGTATGTATGTGTTGAATACAGTAGGAGAGAGACATTTACTTAATGCTACCCTGGACAAAATCAATGAAACTGGTGAACTGGGCAATGTTGTGCTCACATAGTGTTACTGTCTCTTTAAATTTGCGTCACGCACTGGTTATGAGCAAAACATTTTTTTTTTAAAGCATTAACCATAAAATATAACTATCAGGGAAATATTTTTGCTTAAAAAAAAATGTACTTCACACTAAATATTACAACAACAAAAAATGAAATCGCCTGAATAAAAACTCCTTGTCTAGAAAAAAAACAAAAACCATGTACTTCCGGGACACGTCAACAAAGTGTCCGCAGAGAGGGCTCTCCGTCGGTAACGTTAGTGACAGGACGTCGTTCAGAAACCATGGAGACATTATACAGTGTACCGTTCGCTGTGCTCGAGTGCCCCAACATAAAGCTGAAGAAGCCGTCATGGCTGCACATGCCGTCGGCTATGACTGTGTACGCCGTCGTTATTGTGTCCTACTTTCTCATCACGGGAGGTAAACGCGTCTGCTGAGCTAAAGGCTGCTAGCTGTTAGCGCTCAATCTGCACTGTGTCCGCATGTGATTTACAGTCCGAGCTCGTTAATGTGTTAATGTGCGGTCGGGATAGTGTCACATATTGAAGGCAGTGTTTTTAATAAGCCTGGTAACGTTGACGCTAACATGTAGGCAGCTCAGCTAATGAACAGGGGGAGGCTAACTCTGCAGCTCAGCTACCATTTAACTAGTTGAATGCATCTTGGTCTGTTTGACATTCAGATTGGGTTTAGCAGTAAAATGAGTACTATTGAACATGATCAGTGTGCTAATTAATGAGCAAGTTAAGTTGTTTATGGTCTGATTAATTCCTCACTCCGCCCCCCTCCATTATAGGCATCATCTACGATGTTATTGTAGAGCCCCCAAGTGTGGGTTCAATGACTGATGAGCATGGACACCAGCGGCCGGTGGCCTTTCTGGCTTACAGGTATGTCAATCATAACACTGGGAGCATCTCAGCCAAACCCTGGACAGTAAGTCACATGTAAGTCACACTAAAGCATGCATAGTTAACAGAGGTGCTTTTGTTTTCCAGAGTAAATGGGCAGTACATCATGGAAGGACTGGCTTCCAGTTTCCTCTTCACGATGGGAGGCCTGGGATTTATAATCCTGGACCGCTCCAACGCGCCAAACATTCCCAAACTCAACCGTTTCCTGTTGCTCTTCATCGGTTTTGTCAGCGTTCTCCTCAGCTTCTTCATGGCCAGAGTTTTCATGCGCATGAAGCTGCCGTAAGTCTAAGCTTGTTTACCACCAAAAACGAGGATCGACGTGTGTAATGTCTCTCATTTCAACATCAACCTGTCTTACAAAGTCTGTTCGACTCAAGAGTTAATGATGGTCTGTAATTCTGCTGATCTGATCTGATGTTTCCACAGCGTATTAACTAATTCATCTTTTGTCTTTTCAGAGGTTACCTCATGGGCTAGAGACAAAGACAGCACACTGAAAATGAATTAGATGGACAGAGGACATCACATGCATTGGGGCCCCGACACGCAGTTCAACTATAATTATGGATAAACTCGACCTTTTTGATATAATCAGACATTCAGGATGGAAAGCACTGATCTAGCTAAAGAAATTAGACCTGGCTGCACTGACAGTCTCTCTCTGGCTGTGTCTCATTGGTGTTCAGTGACTTCCTTCCTTCTTCTTTTTTCCAAATGTCCTAAGAAACTGATGCAGAAGAGTATCACATAGGTAACTGTTAAAAGGCATTATCACCAGTGTTGCCATGTGTTTTGATAAAACAACTACAACATCCAGATCCCTCTCACTATAGTGCATCTGTAGCAAACTTGAGAAATTTAATTTCACTTTAATTGAAGCTAGAAGTAGCATACCGTGCAGCGGGGGAAATGTCTCTGAGCCACTGGAGAAGAAATAGGAAAGGAAGTTACTGAACACTGCTGGCATGGAGCTACTCATTTGGTATCGGGAAGGGGGAATAAGATTTAAGTTGTGTGTTTTTGTAAAGAAATCATTGAAAGAGCCTTGAACTTGTCACAGTTGCAATTTTGTACAAGGGTGCGAAATAAATCTTCTTTTCAGAACTCCTTGCAGTTGTCATATGTACATACGGATTTGTCTATCATAAACAAAGAGGCATTTTCTACATACATTTATCAAAAACAAAACGGGGCAAAGACAAATATGAATATACCTACATTTTGTGGCCTGCATATACAGCATTTGGGAGTTATGAATTGGACATAAGCATTGTAAGTTGCCCTCCAGAAGGTGGCAGCATAGATGTAGCAGGCAGTAGTGTGTACTGGTCATTGTAGTAACTGTAACAGCAACAAGAGCCTCAAATTCTGAGCATTTTAAAACTAATGTGTTTTCATAGCAATAAAGTAGTCATGGTTATGCAGCTTGGGGGCTTATAATTACTGTTTTTTAAATGAATGTTGGGGATTTCAGGGTTAATAGAAATGAATAACCGAGGGCAGGCTCTTTCCTATGTTATTTTTCAACAGTGTCTTTATTAACATATATTAACAGCTCTATGGTTGAACAACGTACAAAAATTACATTCACATAGACACCTGATTCCACAAAGTTGTTACTATTTGGTTCATTACTACAGGGTACTGTTAACAATAGGTAATTGGTTGTGGGACATTTTAAACCCATATTCCTGTGGAGGGAGGGGATAACTTTGTAAATAGATGTTTTTCAAAGCAGCCATTTTGATATGAAATAGTCGCACACACAGGTGTTACCAATGATACTAACTAAAGTTGTGTACCATTCAGTGTAGCAGAGCCTGCGCAGTGAGCCAACATGCACAGTAGCAGCACCCTCACCCTGTTTGACCTGAATGGAACTGAAAGTTAATTAGTATCATTACTATTTCATATTAAAATGACCTGAGTGAACTCACTGGCACTGTGACAGCTTTTGTGAGGATGTCTGCCAACTAAAACTTTAAGCGTGTATACAACAACAAACACCAGTTTAAAGTGAAACTCAGGCAGGAGGCCAACAGAAGAGGGGCGGATTCCTGTACTTCCAGGGTTCCACAATCTCCCAGGAACCTAAAGTGGGTTTCTAACATCGACACAGTCATCAAAAGGGCCCAGCAGAGGGTTTCCTTTCTGAGCCAGATCTATACCTGCACACCCATCACTGATTTGGATCAGCCACCAAACATGACAAGAGCAGAGTACAACGGACAGTCAGGACTGTAGAAAGAAATCATTGATGCCAACCTGCACCTTCATTCTGGACTTATACATGTCCAGAGTCAGGAAACATCACTGCAGACTCGTCACAACCTGCTCCAACTTCTTCCCTCTGGGAGGCGCTACAGAACACTGTACTCCAAAACAACCAGCCGCAACAACAGTGTCTTCTCATAGGCCACCACTCTGATAAACACTTAGTCATTTATCAATAAACCTTTAACACTGAAACACCCACTTACCTTCAAATTATAAATTATATATTTACAGTTTATATAGTATATTTATTTATATAGACACTGTATGTTGTCCTTGTTTTAAGCTGCATGTCTATCTTGTAAATTGTTCTGGGTGTAAATACATTGAGAGCAACTTGAAACCTGTGTCAAAGTCCTTGTATGTGTACACATACTGGGCATATATATATATATAAAAATAATTGTAATTGTTTATATACAATTGTTTATTGATAAAGCTGAGCTTTTGGTCACTAGACCCTCATTAAAGCAAATGTTTGACGTCAATTGTCAGTGGCTCTTTAATTTGTCTAAAAGCGTATTTTAAAAATATATCTTTGTATTTCCTTTATTTACTGTAAGTAAACAAAAAAAAGTCAGAAATGTTAACTTCAAGGTATGACATTATGCACAATGAAATAAAGTGTTGTTTTGGGGTCTTCTGGGATACGAGATGGCACTTCCCTCCCACTGTTTATGTTGAGTGAGTCACTTATCTCCTCTCCACATTATGGAGAATGGTCTACAGCGTCAGCCAACAACAATAGAGACGTCAGAGAACATTTTGTACTTCATGAACAACATAGATCAACTATGCCACATTTATTTCTTGCCTGGGCAAGGGCCTCTCTTTGACTGATCACTCCAACATGCAAGTGACAAACTCACAGCTTTTGTCCACTCTCTGTTGAGAAGGGACATTGGTCAATTATTGCTGGTTTGTCAAACAGTGTCCATGTTTGTTTGTCTGAGGCGGATTTGAATAAGATAGGCTTACACTCAGTACAGATAGTTTTCATGCTCATGTATATTCTACATGTGCTTAATTCAAGCTGAACCTCCTAGAAAGCAGAGGTCAGGGCTAGAATTTCCCTCATGGATCAACAAAAACAGTATTTTCATCCAGTATTTTATTCAATACAGACTTACCACATAATGTATAATGCCGTTCCACACTTTCAACAACAGCAAGCGATTTATAATCAGTAAAAACTTTATTTTAAAGCTAATATCATTGCATGTTTTGACATAATATATTTTGATTAATTCAAATTATGATTCCCTGAAAATTGTGGTCAAGTGAATGTTGGCAAAATTTAAAAATTTAAAATTATTTACATGAATATACAGGTTGTGTAGCATGTTTTTGCAACAAAGTGAAACAATAATAGACATGTTAGACAAGTGGCTTGAATGTGTGAATGTAGAGATGTAATTAAAAAAAATAATACCTGAGAACACACTGCAATCTCATAGATACACAGCATATTATTATCATCAACACTTTTCATTAGGTTACATGAGGCACTTAACTTTTCATCCCAATGTTTAGTCACCTCAAAAGTTTATAATGTCTTACAGTTACTGGTTATTATTTAAGATAGTGTTGTCATTTGACGGCTCTGACGTGAGGCAGAATTATGTCTTGACGCGTTTGGTTTGTTTGGTTTGTTGAGTAACTCCTTGAGTGCTCATTTTGTTGTGCACTAACCCCCTGTGATACTGGTGTCCATTTTCATCAGTTGGCAGCTTGAAATAAAACCACAAAGAGATAAAGTTGAAATGAAAATCAATGCAGTTGGAACTTTAGTCATTTACTTTTTGTTATCTTCATGTAAGTGACTTGACGTAAGTGATTTATTAGACTAAAGCTTTGGTCTACAAATTAGCTTTGGTTAATTGAGTTGTCGTGCATGCTTTGGTTCATTTCAGGCTACAGAAAGAGTTTAAAATAGGGAGCAGAGTCACACTTACCTTTCTTTTGCTGCTTTCATTCTCTACTTTCGGTGCATTGTGCAACTTCAAGCCTATGGCTTCCTCAAGTTCTAGAAACACAATAACACACATGACAGAGCTCTTACAGCAATAGCAGGCTAGGACAACGGCGTGTCAATGAAGCAATGGGGAAGTGTTAAGTACCTGTGAGAATGTGGTCAATCTTCTCCACCACCAGGTCAGCGTCCTCTGTTGTGAAGCACATCGGGGGCTTAAATTTTAGCACATTGCGATGTGGTCCATCAGCACTGAGGAGGATGTGCTGTTCCTTTAGCCTGGGACAAAACACGAATTATTCCACACTCGGTATCGATTTACGAATATAAATGAAGTGGTTGAGCCATTTAAAAAATGCCTTTTTTTACAGCAGACAAAAGCACAGGTGAAACTAATAACATTAATGATGGCTCAGCTTTATACAAGTGTCCATGGCAGTAAGCCAGTGTGCAGACAGCAGCCACACCTCAATGAATGCAGCCTTAATTTATGTTATTATTTACACCTGTGCTTTCCCTGCTGTTACCAAATGTCTGTCAAAATGTCTGCTGGAAAAACACAGTTGAAATTGTAATATCAAATTTCAAACTACAAATTTCCCCCCCCCGGGGATCAATTAAGTATTTCTGATTCTGAAACACTGTATTGGTAAGTGATTGTTTGCCATCATAATATGATGGCAGTTTTTGGTAATTTCTTTTTAAATGAGGTCTATTTTTTACTCCAATCCCCACGCAGGTCTGATTAGTAATAGTCAAGTTCAGAATGTGTAAACTCAGATTGTTTGATGTCTTAACAATAATTACAAATAGCATAATATGCTGCATAATTCTAAAGCTGAAACAATGTGTCTGTGTGTGATATAAGATAAGCCCACCAAAGCTATGGTAACACTGGTGGTGGAACTGAATCATGGTTGCAATTTTCTCAACAGAGAATAGAGAAGGTTGCAGAGCAGTATAATCAAAGCAGGTTGTTTTCTTTAAATGCTGCATAATATGTTTTTCATATCAGACACTAATCTGAAATCTAACACTTACTTATATATGACTTCTTGGGCTTCTGCTGTAGCCGGGGTGAGCTTCAACCTGTCCTTCACAAGCTCCACCCCAACAAAGAGGCCACGACCCCTGCAGGATGTGATGCCATTTGGTTTAATCATCTCTGACACACACAGAATCCTACTGACCTCTGCATGACGCAGGTAATTTTCAAGATATTCTTCCACAGAAAGTTGTTTTTCCAAACATGTTCTGGGTCATTGTAACATACACCAAATTAAGCCTTTTAGGTAAAGAAATCTACACTTACAATCACAATATTTGTCTTTACAATAACAACAGATTTAAAGTTATCAATAGCAGTTTGTTAGAATATAATGGCAGCTGTATGCCCAAGGTAAATATATCACAGAATCTCCCACAATGTTTAACTGACAATCACTGGGAAGAGCAAATGTGTCAAAATCATGTTTCACTGTGGGGTCAGTGATTTACATGTTGGTCCAAGGATTATACAAACATGACATAATAATAATAATAATGTAATAATATAATATAATA